GTTAGCATAATAGGAAATTACTAAGCTTTAAGCAGCTAATAAGGCAGCTACCTTTAGAAAGGCCTGCGCTTAACAGCTTAAAATGAGTTTAGGGAGCGCAGTGACAGGAAGAAGGCAAAGAAGCAGGTGTAAGCTAAAGTAGATAAGCAATCCTAAAGACGCTGCGGACAGTGCAATTAGACTAGACATGACGCGCAAACGTGTAAGCAAGAAGTAGAAGTAGTATCTAAATAATATTCTAGGCTGTACTGTACTCTATAGTGCTAGAGTGGGTTGTTATGGGCCATAATAACGTTTGTTGTGGTGTGGTCTTGGCAAAAGTGAGCAACTCAGGTGTGCGAGCAACTGCTAATCCCTGTGTCAGATTGAAGCACTGTTTCTAGGCTTCCTGAGATGAATAATGGGTTTAGATATGATGTATGGGATGATGATTAATTGTATTAATTAATTAATCTTTTTTTTGTCTGCTCTGCTCGTGTTGCTCGGCCTTGTTTTTCTGGTCCGAGTCCCTCGCGCACTAGCCCTATGCACAACCAGCTTGCAACATGCTGCAATTTGTTGCAAAATGCTGCAACATGCTGCAACATGCAGCAATTTGCAGCAACATACTGTTTGAGCTTATTGCTTGTACTATGTAGCAGCTTTCGTCCAGCGTTCCTCCTGTCTTGACAGTAGGTGCGCATATCTGACACCCCGACACACTGATGCGGCTGATGCCAATCCTCAACACACTAATGTGGCTGATGCCAATCCCCAACACACCGATGTGGCTAGAGAGGTGGAACAGACGCAACTAACCATAATTTAAACATGTTTTACACAACGCATGCTAGAGCAAACTGCATGCAAATTAGCGTAAAGGTGCACTTACATTAGGTATACATTTTTTTTAAAAAAGAATATAAGAAACACATAAGGTGACAGAGAAACAGCGTTACTAGGGTTTATCTGAAGAAATTCTAACTAACTAGCGCGTCTAAAAGAGGAGATTCTGCTCAACTTTTCGTTCTGCAAACCCGAATATAATAAGCAGAGCAAGCTCTGCTAATAACTAAATATTAAAAGCTATTTTAACTTATTTTAAGTTAAATAAGACTAAACTAGTGCCTTAAAACTCTTTTTAGATATTATTAAAAGTAATTACTATATTATAAGTATATATAAAGTATAGTAGGAACTTAAGTTTTATAATATAAGTGTTAGATTGAAGCACTGTTTCTGGGCTTCCTGAGATGAATAATGGGTTTGGATATGATGTATGGGATGATTGATTGATTGTATTGATTGTCTTTATTTATTGATCCTTTTTCTGCTCTACTCGTGTTGCTCGGCTTTTTGTTTTGCCGATCTAAGTCCCTCGCGCACTTGCCCTATGCGCGACCAGCTTGCAAAATGCTGCAATTTTCTGCAATTTGCTGCAAACTGCTGCAACATGCTGCAATTTGCTGCAAACTGCTGCAACATGCTGCAATTTGCAGCAACATACTGTTCGAGCTTATTGCTCGTACTATGTAGCAGCTTTCGTCAAGCGTTCCTCCTGTCTTGACAGTAGGTGCGCAAATCTGACACAAACATACTAGGCTAGTTTATGTAAACATAGCCTAGATTATGCTTAGCGCGCAAAGAATTAGCTATATTAGCTATAAATGCTATTTAAGGGGAAATTTCTTGCGCATATAGCTTAAGTATAGTTTTAATAATTACCTGCTCTTTTTTATTGCCTAGCCTCTGTAATTTAGCTGTAGAATTAGCTTATAAAAGTTGTCTAGCGCTATAGTTATTTATTGTCTTTTATAGGACTTTACACATAGCTACAGCATATTTTTTTTAAGAGTTTTATGTCTTGTTTAAAAGCTTAGAGCGTAAGCTGTATCTAATGTTCTTTTAGCGCGTCTAAGTAGTGTTGTGGGGAATGCATTAGTGTAGAAAGGGTAGTTTAGTAGGGTCTTAGCAAAAGTAAGCAACTCAGGTGTGTAAGCAACTCGCCTGTGAAGTATGTTATAGCTTACACTTTAGGCTTTTAAATAAATATAACTTTTTTAAGGTAATATACTTTACAAGCAAGTTGCTTACACACCTAAGTTGCTTACTTTTGCTAAGACTCTAAGCAATTAGCGATTAGTTTTTTCCCTTCACCAGCTAACAGTCCGCTGTAGCCAGGTCGAGTCAGGGTCAGAGCCGATACGGGGTCCCTTCGGATAGGTTCCGGGCGACCTGAGATGGAACGATTCTGTAACGGCACAGGCAAGACAATGGGTCCGAATGCGGTGGGAATCCACTCAGAGGCATATGGGAGTGCGTGGGGACTCTGAACCTGGGAATGCCATTGACACCTATAGACTAGGCTGTTTTTTTTCTTGTTTTAGGGCGTCTAGCTTGTTACCTGCAATTTTTTATTTATTTATAGTTTTATAAATAGCAGTTAGACCTTCTTTAAAGGCTTTAATGCTACTAAATATTTCTTTAGTTTTAGAGTTTAGTGTAGAGCTGTTTGCTCTAAAGTCTATTTAGTTATCTACATATAACTAAAACTAGATTGCAGAGAGTCCTTCTAAATGTAGTCCTATCTAGGATATTATTTCTGCATTAGTTTAAAATGCTCCTTTATTATATTGCATATAAAGGTAGCATTTAGTAAAAAAGAGGCAAAGGTTCTTAGGCAATTTTCTAAAAGGCTTTAAAAGGGCTAGTCTTAAAGTTTTCTTAGCTGTAATACTTGCTTTCTTAGTTAAAATATTCTAGAGTTTAGCTAGTTCTACTTATAACATATATATCTAGTTTGTAGAGCTTATAGCTAATTAAAAGTTTATTAAAGTTAGTTAGTTATTAAATTTAGCTACTTTTTAATAAAAGTTTTTTACTTTTTTATAAAGACTAACTAGCTTATTAATCTTGTTACTAATTTATTAGAGTTTTTTAATGTTGTTCTAGATACTATTAATCTATTCTACTAAGACTTCTTTATTAGCTATTAGAACTTCCTGTAATTCTAATAGGGCTGCGTAGGCTATGTTAGAATTAAGGTTATATTAAGTAGTTATACTTTTTAAGGGGTGTAGTGTTTAATGTTATAATTCTTACTTTAAGAAGCACTTAGGTTAATGTTGTTCCTTAAGGTAAAATAAGGGAATAGAGGCTAACAGTAGGGTGTACAATCCTACATAATAGCTACTAGGCTAATAGAGTAGAGGAGGGCAACTAGATTATAGTTTGTCCCTATAGCAGCAGTATAGTAGCTAGGTTAAACAGTCCTGTTAGATAGAATTAGAGGTATATATGTTGCAAGATATATAAATAGTATTACAGCTTTTTACAAAGCTAAATGCTACTTAGTTTATATAAAAAATAAACTAAACATTAAACACACTTTTTAAAGGTTATTTAAGGTTAAAACTATATACATGTCTAATAGTGCTAAGAACAAGTTATGTAAGTTTACTAAGTTTATAGTATAGTAAACTTGCCTAGCTTATTAAAATTGTTTAACTCACAGCCTGCCTTTCTATTAGATAATGCATTCTTCTGCAATCGCAGGCAGCTGCGCTGCCTCTAAATCTTCTAATTAGTCTGTAAACAAGTCCTGCCCCAACCTAGCTAGATTGTAGAGTACTTCGGGTGGAGTTACGTTGGTCCAACCATAGACTGTAACACTTTATTATAATATTACATTAATTATTTGTTTAACTATGTTTAAGCCTAAGACGTGTCTAATCTAGTTTAGGTTATAATACTTACACACTATTATATTAAACTATTTAGTCTATAGACAGAATACTAGAGACCTTCTGTTAACTAAAGCCTTTAGGTTTAGAACTTTCTATCCCCTATAAAATTACTTTTAGAAAAGTTATAAAAAATGTGCTAAGGTAGAAACTTAGAGACTACTAATAACCTATTAGGATTAGAGACAACTGCTAATGCCTAACTTTTAACTACTACGCTAACAACAGCTAAATCTGCTTCTGTAGGACCTAAAGCTAGACCCATCTAATTTAGAGTTAACCCCTAGCATTAACTCTTAACTACTAACTCTAGCTACTAAATCACCCCTAATAATGTCTTAAATTACTACTACTACTCTAATAGCAAGAGACCTTTTAGGCACCTTTAACAATACCTAATGCTACCTTACTAAACGTACGCCTAAGATTAATAACTGCACAGATAGCAAAGAACTAATGTTTAGACAATAGCAGGCCTTAATTAGTAGGCTAGGCATTAATGCAGATCACTGTTAGAGCGGGTGCGCACGCATAGCGTTTTAGTTTAGAGGACACCGCTAGTAGTGCGAAAGAATACTTAGAGCAAGGACACCTAGCCAAATTAGACTAGTTTTAGTTTAAGGAGGCAGAGGAATAAATTACTGCTAATAGGGACTATTAGTCTACAGAGGGGGGGTAGTGTAACAATTCTCATGAATCGTTCCATCTCAGGTTGCTCAGAACCTCCGGAAGGTCCTCGTATCGGCTTCGACCCTGACTCGACCTGGCCCCGACTCTGCCCTGTCCCCTGCTGTTACCCCTATTCCCCCATGTATTTAGTCGCACCTCTCCCCTTAGCTAGCTTAGTAGTTTTCTGATATCCTTTCGTACAGGGCCTATAGGTGTCAATGGAATTCCCAGGTCATTGAGTCCCCACGCACTCCCATATGCCTCTGAGTGGATTCCTACCGCATTCGGACCCATTGTCTTGCCTGCACTGTTACATTAGTAAAAGTAACTTAGGTGTGTAAGCAACTTGCCTATAGTGTACGTTAAAATTTTATTAGAGTGGACTGTTTACTTGTGTGGACCCCTTGCTTGTAAAATACGTTATAGTAAGTTAGCTAATAAAGTATAAGAGACTTGTACAGTATAAGGTAGATTAGCTGCAGGGTTAGCGTCTAGCTTGTAGTTACTGCAATGTTGTCACGGTTATGTTACAGCTATCCAACCCCTGAGTACCCTAGGCTTGGCACGGGGTATATAGGCTCCTCGGCCTCCGTACCTCTGCCTCCGACCCTAAGGTTTACTCTCGTTACCCCCCTATCCTGCATTCCCTCTCTGTGACCTGTGTTTCCTGCTCGATACCTCTCACAAATGTCCACAGTAGGTGGCAGGCGCGCAATGGGGATGTCCGGCTAGCTCGCCAGCAGGGGGTTGGGCGACAGGGTAAACGAGCCGTCAGCGGGACCTCCAACACGAGGGGGCCCGCTATAGGATATCCTTAATTTTGTAAGGAGGCGACCCAGCATTCAATGTCCTCTAATTTTTCCTAGGGATCTTTTAAATAATCTACTTGTTTTGTTGCTGAATTTAAAGCACGCCTACTTGCCATTACACTACCATAAGGATCGATAAACATGGTCACGGCGCGTGTTCCCCTACTACGCTCTCCTTCACAGGCGACAACGGTACAGGTACTACTCCACAAATATACAAATCATCTATTTCTCAGTGATCCCCTTAGAATAACGCCAAACCTAAGAAATCAAGTCCGACCTCATGCAAAGCGCGCTATGTTGGATCCGCATATTATTAAACGATTACCACAACCGCCCCTATGGTCCAGGCAAGCTTTACCGCACATCCAACACATTGCTTCTCTCCCCGCAGTACGGTTAGTGTGCACGAAGTGCTACAAAATTGCAAAGCCTCGTTCTTCGCTTGAGCGGTCGACAAGGTCTGCACCGCTGTTATTCCTGCACAGTTTACAGTCATGTTTGAGAGATCGTTGATGTTGTTCGCAATCTTTACTCTCTCAGAAGATCGGGGAGTCTTCGAAACGTCATGCTTGCATCCGTGACCAGTAACAATATGGCTCGGGTATGGTGCGGGTACCCTAAATGCTGGTGTCGCGGAAGGTGTCCATGATGCTGTGCCCTAAGATGATGGCATTAGCCTGATGCTTGTCATAGAAAATTGTAAGTTAAATCTACCTCAAATGCTGCCAAAGCGATATTCACTTTCGAATCTTTCAAGTAAACATCCTTTCTCACCCTCCATGGGCTCTTTGTACCCCCTACTGGGCCGACAAGCTTCCCAGCCAGTTGTATGATCAGTGGTCCAAGAGGAGACTGTTGGTTGATGATGTAGCTCTCCACTGCAGCAAAAAGAGTTACCATTACGGTGAAAATTGTGGTGCTGAAGCCCCGAGAGTACTGCCTCAAATGTGGCCATCCACCTTGAATCAAAACCTTGTCTACGAGTTCCCAGGTGGGAATACCGGCAAACACAGCGCGTGCAGCAAGAGCTGCAATATACACCTTGGCTGTATCGCTGTCGTGGTTGTGTAAAGATGCTCCAAGGTCGATTTGTATGCTAGGGTTGCGTCCTGGCTTCAAGGGGGAGTACCAATTATATGGATACACTACCTGAATGAAAGCTTGCGCTTGCCCGATGGTTCCAAAAACTCCCGAGTCGACCAGTAACTGCTCACGGAGCTTTGATCCCCAATAAGATTTTTTCAGATCCAAATTAGAGCCTATCCATTCAAGACCACCGATTCGCATTCCCTTCGAGAAACCCAAGAGCCGACAATCCCATAATAGGTCTTTGGCCTTGTTGTCCGCTTTCTCATCCTGTTCGAGGCTGAAAGGATACGCCTGCGTTTCTAGCTCATAAATTGGTGCTGAGGTTCGTCCTTGCATTTCGGCGAAAGCATTTCCTATGAAGGAGGTCGCCAGCCCCGAAGCGTCGGTCAATGCCTTTGTACTCCAGTAATTGTCTCGCTGCCCCTTCTCTTCCATAGTGTCCGCGTAAGACATCAAGCGGGAGGAGCCATCGATCTTCGGAAATCCGGTCGGCCTCGTGCTTCTAAGTCTTGTTAGGAGAGGTTTCTTTGCCCAGTTCAGGTGTAATTGGGCCTATGAGATAGGTCAGTCAAATGAGTCTTCCCTTGATTGGGTCTACGAATACTTACGACTCCATCCCAATGTCTTAAGTGCCGCTTAACAATGGGCTTTAGAGGCGTTAGATCTACCGCCCATGTCGATGGGTTCGCCGGATCAGAATTGATGAGCTTGATGGCAATCTCTCGAAGCGGATTCAGCTCTTGACTAAGTTCCATCGCTGCTATGATGACCTGAGCAAGAATCTGGTCGGCGACTCTTGGTTTTCGCTTTCTCTATTTATGTTTTTCAGATTTATGCGCAGAGCCGCGTCTTCGAGTGGGACTCGCTTCTACCTATCCAGACTAGAGGACTAGTAAATCATACCACCCATGTAATCTTACATCATTTTTGCTTCTTCGCCCGATTTGGGGATTTCAAGCGATACGTATGCTCTAGTATCAAGGTCGTGGATGAATACGCGATTCTCGTCCGAATGGAGCAGCAAGGCTGAATTGGGGGTTTCATCGCATTTCGGGGCCAATGGGGTCTGAGGGTACAGTTAGCCCTTGAATCCGAAAAACTTGGGCCTGAAGTAGGTATTCATCAAACCGACCTTTTAATCCCAAAATATTTGAAGAACTGTGGAGGGAAATCTCGAGTGTAGTCAAAAGAAGAATGCATTAGTGCCAGGATTGCCACGGTTACGATGAGACTTCAACCTGAGATGGAGCTAATGGAAGGTTTGAATCAGTTCCCTTCCGGAAGAGAGATTAATTGAATCATATTAGGTCTCAAAGGGGAAATTGGTGAGTGGCGTTTGCATAGGAAATGCACAGGATATCAGCCACATTCCGGTAATTGTCTCCTTCCGGGCCTATCAGACTTCAAACTAAAAAAAGAAACTCGGCTCTACTCATAATACCCTCCGGAAACGGCAAAAGAGGGCGTTCTTGTGGTAACTATATGCAAACTCGTTCTTCTCCTGTTGACCAATAATAACTCGACTGACTGTCATGAATGTCTCATGGCAGATCGCCCCTCTACTCCTATAGTTTCTCCGCCGGGCCTGGGAGTCAATTTTATGACATTGAATTAAATTAGGTTATGGGGATGATGTATGGTCTCGAATCACTACTAACGGGTGTGTGGGAAAATGGTCGGGACCCCACAGCTTATAGTCAAGGTTCTTTGCAACCATCAATCAAGACGAGAACTTTGAGGTGCCTGAACGCCAGCTAATAAATCCGTCGGCACTTCTGCGAGATCAAAGGAATGGAAGTGATATTTTGAGGAGGCTGAAAACGGCTACGATAACAGGCCAGGCCAACTCAACCTCCTCGCTCCTTGCACTTCATCGACCCAGCAGCTCTTAACTAGTGGCTTCATTCAGCTGGAAAGCCACGGCGTGGGTGCATATAATACCCTTTTTCTTTTTTTGTGTCGAATGTCTTTCATTAAGGTGAAGTCCACTTCGTTCCGCTCTTGAATCTCTAGTTGTCACTTCATTTTGTCACCCCAGCCTCCTCCCCTTCATTATCAGTGTCTCAAGCTTCCCCCTTCGTCTTCCTTTGCGTTCAACTCAACGCTCATCTAGCTCTCGCTTTTATTCAAGGCTACTTTTACTCCTATTATCTCCTACGCTTTATTTGCTATCGGTGACTCAAGCCGTCGATATGTACATTCCGGTAAGTGACCCGTGACCAGTTTGTTAGACTCCTGCCCCGATTTTCATGGGTTGAATCTCATTCCTACCATTCTCATTTGTTGCTTCACACCAGCCTGTATCTCCAGGAGTACCAATCTCTCAGTTCACTACCCTCCTCAGTTCCCTGCCGTTTTTCGAACCTAATATTCCCCTAGGCGACAGACACAACACATCCACACCGCATCGCCAAACGCGATGCCGGACTCGCTGGCGGTGGTGTGGGTGGCTTCCTCTCCTTCCTCATTCTCATCTGGATCATCTGGTGCTGTATCCGGCGTCGTCGCACTGTCTATGTCGCCGACACTACCCAGCAAACCGCCGTCGCTACTTCTAGCAATAATGAAGCAGCTCAAGCTACCGCTACCGCTAATAACATTACGGTTAACCCGGTTTTCATGGTTGCTAGTCCCCAGCCTGCTCAACAGCCACTTTCTCCGCAGCCGACGGGGTATGGACCAGCACAGCCGCTTTCGCCGCAGACAACCGGGGGCTACCCAGTTCAAGGGGAGATTCCAATGACCACGCTTCCAGTCCAACAACCTATACAAGCGTATACAGGAGCTGTAGCCACTGCTGGTGGCGTACCGGCCCAGGCACCGGTATCCGTGGGAAGCCCAGCGCCCCAGGGGTATCAACAATTCCAGCAACATTCTGTACAGAGTGCTCCGATCCAGACCGCGCCAATTCAAACAGCGCCAATCCAAGCGGCACCGATTCAGACCGCCCCGATTCAGCAAGGGCAAGATGGCCCCCCCCCTCAGTATCCCGGGAAAGCCTAGGAGTAAGGACCCATACTTGCGGCGTGGGGCCTGTGGAGACAGTGATCGGGTAATGTGGATGAAAGATGACATTGGCTTTGTCGAGCTCTTGAGGAGTAGTGTGTCATAATGTTTCTTTAGTACTCATTTCTTAGTCGTAATTCGTCTTAATATACCCTTAATAAACAACCGCTTCCTCTCAAAGTTACGTCCGCTTCTCGTGAGATCCCGTAGAAGATAAAATTTCATCCTTCAGCAATAGTATACGTTGTGCAATGTTTGGGCCATCGTTTACGCTCCTTTCCATCTTAGCAATTTCCCTATCATATCGCCCTCGCACAAAGCGTACTGGCCTTTGGTGCAAATGGAGAGGTGGTGTAAGCATGCAGCTATGTAGAAAGCTGATGAAGTGAAGTGTATTGTTTTAAGTCTAAGTACTCTGTTGCAGAGTATTTATTTACATCTATGATGGCAGGGGCAGTGAGGACCATGGCAATGGCTAAGGGGATATAGTGAAGGTTGTAGGAACTATAGTGAAGGAACAGTACGGTACTGCCCTCTGCTGTACCCCTATTCCTTCATGTATTTAGTCGCACCTCGCCCCTGTAGCTAGCTCAGTAGTTTTCTGATATCCTCTGTACAAGGCCTATAGGTGTCAATGGCATTCCCAGGTTCCGAGTCCCCACGCACTCCCATATGCCTCTGAGTGGATTCCCACCGCATTCAGACCCATTGTCTTGCCTGTGCCGTTACACGGGTGTGTGAGCAACTCGCTCGTGAAGTACGTTAAAGCTTAAGTATAACTATAACTATAAAAAAGCTTTATATAAAAGTTTTATAGTAATTTATAACGTACCTAACAGGTTGGCCGGCCACACAGGTTGGCCAGCCACTTTTGCTAAGCCCCTACTAAACTCTACCTATCTACATAATGCCTTAACAACAACACTAGATTAAATTTTCTAAAGAACATTAGATACAGCTTACTCTTTAGGCTCTTAAATAAGACTTAAAACTTTTTTTATAACATGCTGCAGCTATCTATAATGTCTTTTACACAACACTAAGTAATTAACACGCTAGACAGCCTTTATAAGCAGAATGCTAGCCTAAATTAAGGAATCTAACTAAGCTTAAAAAAAGGTAGTTATTAAGTATATACTTAAGCTTATTACACATAGATTTCCTTTTAGGCTTATAGCTATAGCTAATATAGCTAATTCCTTACCTGCAGAGCGTAATCTAGGCTAGGTTAGCTTAAACTAGCCTAGTATATAAGTTAAGCACTATCCTAAGTTTATAATAAAGTTTAATTATAAGTATAATTATAAAAGAGTGCTTTATAAGAATCTAGAGGTTATCTAGAGCTAGTTTTACCTAGTAGCTAATATAAAAGCTAAGTATAGTATCTAAAATAAAAACAGGTATAACTTTAATAAATTAGGCTTTATAATAGGCTAGATATTAACTAGAGCAGTTATTATAGCTTTAGAGAGACAAAAATAGCTAAAGGTAATATAGTAAAGTAATAAAAAGTAAATAATAGTTATCTAAAGTATTAATGTAATAAAGTAGGCTATAAAATTATAAAGCTTTAAGCAGTAAATAAGGCTACTACATAATATAAATTACATAAAAGAAAGTAAATTTAAGTAAAAAAAACTTTAATAGTTAAAAATAAAGCTTATCTAACTACTTTAAAGAAGTTTAGAGCGCGTAGTAATAGAAAGAAGCTAAAGACATAAGTGCACACTAAAAAAGGTAAGCTAAGTTAAAAGTAATATAGGTAGTGTAATTAAACTAGGCATAACTTACATACATATAAGTAAGTAGTAGAAGTAGACTCTAAATAATATCTTATGTTATATTACTTTATATAGGGCTAAAGTAGGCTGTTTTGCGAGAGAATAGAGTAGTTTTAGTAGGGGCTTAGCAAAAGTAGCTGGCCAACCTGTGTGGCTAGCCAACCTGTTAGGTACGTTAGCTAGTTTAACTTTATAAAGAATATTATAGCTAAGTATATATTTAAAATAATAATATATTTGACGGCGCGTACCGCGTCACATGCTCTGCAGCCTTAGCTCCCTTGCTTACGCGACGAGTAGCGCCTTGGCAGGGGGCACACATGTATATTTAAACTCGCAGAGCAGCTGCTCTGCTTCTTAGTTTAATCTAGTTAGGTTACACCACCTCTTGCTTGTAGCTTGAGCATGCTAATTGTAATAATATATATAACTTTAATAAAATAAAGTTTATAATAAGCTAAATATCTACTAAAGTAGTTATTATAAGTTTAGAGAGATAAAAATAGCTAAAAGCAGTCTAACTAAGTAACTAGAAGTAGATAATAGCTATTTAAAGCATTAATACTAGAAAGTAAGCTATTTTACTTTTTATTATCTTTTAAAGTAGTAATTACTTTTTAAACTAGTATAAAAAAAATCTTCTTTAAAATTAAGTTATTATTAGCAGAGCTTGCTTTGCTTATTATATTTAGATTTGCAGAACGAAAAGTTTAGCAGAATCTTCTCTTTTAAACGCGCTAGTTAGTTATAATTTCTTTAGATAAACTCTAGTAATGCTATTTCTCTGTTACTTTATATATTTCTTGCATTCTTTTTTTAAAAAAATGTATACCTAATATAAGTGCACCTTTATGTTAATTTGCACGCAGTTTGCTCTAGCATGTTGTCAGATTGAAGCACTGTTTCTAGGCTTCCTGAGATGAATGATGGGTTTTAGATATGATGTATGGGATGATGATTGATTGTATTAATTAATTAATGTTTCTTTTTTTTTTGTCTACTCTGCTTGTGTTGCTTGGCTTTGTTTTTCCGGTCTGAGTCCCTCGCGCACTAGCCCTATGCGCGACCAGCTTGCAACATGCAGCAATTTGCAGCAACATACTGTTCGAGCTTATTGCTCGTACTATGTAGCAGCTTTCGTCCAGCGTTCCTCCTGTCTTGACAGTAGGTGCGCATATCTGACACATGTATTGTGTAAAACATGTTTAAATTATAGTTAGTTGCGTCTATTCCACCTCTCTAGCCACATTAGTGTGTCGGGGATTAGCATTCGCCACGCTCAGTCGCGTCTATTACCTGTCTAATACTACTTTGCTAAGCATTATGCTGCAACTATTCTTTAACCTAAACAACCCACCTTAATACACTAACTATTACTCTAAGCAAGCTCTACTATTATAGATTATTTATAAACTATTGTAGTATTTTAGTTTTTAAGCATAGCTAGACTACTAATTAGCTTAGTCTAAACTAGTTAAAGCACTTTAACATATATATAAAGAAGTGTACTAGTAACATCCACTATCTACTAGTTATTAATAGCTATAAAAGCTATAACTTACTTTATATTTAGTAATACTATAAAAATAATAAAATTATTACTATTTATATGCCTTTTTACTTATTACACTTTGCAGAGGATAAAATAGCCTAGCAGTAGCTGTTTAGAAGATTAGATGAAGTGACTTTGCTATCTAGAAGAGTTGGAGGCTCTTCTTATATACACTAAGCTTTAGAACATACTATCTCTAGATCCTAAGCCGCGTCCTAGGCTCTAAGCCCTAGCTAAGGCTCTTAGTGTACGCGACACACTTTTTATAGCTACTTAATGTAAGTTATTTTACTTCTTTAAAAAAAAGTATATAAGTGCTAAGTTAAAAACTTTATGTATAACTAAATAACTTATATTATAAAAATTATGTTTTTACTATACTTTGTAGTAGCTTAAAATACTATAATTACTTTTAGTAATATTTAAAAAAAAGTTTTAAAGCGCTAAATTAGTTTTTTTTTAACTTATAATAAATTATAATAAGCTTTAATATAAAGTTATATCCTTTATTACTACTAATTTTTATATATAATAAGTTTTAGTAACGTACTTTATAGGCGAGTTGCTCACACACCTGAGTCGCTCACTTTTGCCAAGACCCTACCCTAACAAACTCTATTATAGCCTATAACAACCCGCTCTGGCACTATATAGTACAGTACAGCCTAGAATATTATTTAGATACTACTTCTGCTTCTTACTTACATGTTTGCGTGTTATGCCTAGTCTAATTGCACTATCTGCAGCGCCTTTAGAATAGCTTACCTACTTTAGCTTACACTTGCTTCTTTGCTTTCTTCTTATTACTGCGCGCTTTAAACTTCTTTAAAGCTATTAAGCATAGGCTTTTCTAAATTATTAAAGTCTTTTCTGCCTTAATTTACTTTCTTTTATATAATTTATGTTATGTAGCAGCCTTATTAGCTACTTAAAGCTTAGTAATTTTTTATTATACTAACACTAGCTTATGCGTAATTATTACTGCCTTTTTTAAAACTTTTTTAAACACTTTAACTATAAAAGTTAGTAAACTATTTATATACTTCTAAATTTTTATTTTTATAAGCATTAATTATAACTTAAGTTTTAAAGTATTACTTAGGGTTTATAACTGCTAGAGCTTGTTATATATAAGTAGTAGTAGTAATAAAGTGTGTAACTTTACATTAAAGCTTATTATAACTTATTATAAGTTAAAAGGAACTAATCTAGCGCTTTAAAACCTTTCTTAAATATTACTAAAAGTAATTATAGCATTATAAGCTACTTTAAAGCATAGTAGAAACTTTATTTTTATAATATAAGTAATAATTTTATTATTTTTATAATATAAGTAATAATTTTATTATTTTTATAATATAAGTAATAATTTTATTATTTTTATAGTATTACTAGAAATAAAGTAAGTTATAGCTTTTATAGCTGTTAATAACTACTGTGTTTTAGCGTGTAATGCACGGCCTCGCGTAATGCACGGTTCTGCGCGAAGCTGTCAAAACTTCAACTACCTCTCTCTCAACCAATATAGGCAGTATTGAGGCCGCTTTAGAGTCGCTAAAATCGCTAAAACCTGGAGAATTACTAAATTATGCTGCAGTAGCTAGGCAGTATAGCGTTAATTAATCTACGCTCTTAAGGCGTCACTAACGCGTTACCCGCCCGCGTGCAGAGAAACTTAAAAATTAGCAACTACTTAGCCTAGTGCAGGAGAAAAAGCTAGTAGAGTACATTAATAGGCTTTACGCAAGAGGTCTATCTCTTTTAAGATAGATAATTTAAAATTTTGCAATAGAAATAAGTAGTAGGTAAGCTAGCAAAAGCTAGGTTAATTAATTTATTAAAAGGCACTCTATTAACCTATTATCTTAATAGACATCTAGCATAGATGCTGCGCGTAACAAAGCTAACTTAGCATTTAAGTACTTGCTATATTTTAAGCTTGTACGCAAAAAAATCAAGCAATATAGCATAGAACTACAGCATACCTATAATATAGATAAAAAGGGCTTCCTAATTAGGGTACTGTTAAAAATAAAGCAAATCTTTTCTAGACAGCAGTATAAGCAAGGTATTAAGCAGCAGCTTATACAGAATAGCAATTGCAAGTAGATTATAATAATAGCCTACATCTGCGCTAACAGCAGCTCTCTTATGCCTACGCTAATCTACTAAGCTGTTTCTAACTATATATAAAACTCTTAGCTATAAGATTTTAACCTTTCTAAGTATTAAGCTTTCTTTACTTTATTACCTACAAGTTAGACAAATAATAAACTAGGCCTAGCATAGCTTAAACATGTGTTTAATTACAAGACTAAGGCAAAGGCGTAATAGGCGTACTAACTTTTGTTCCTAGATAGCTATAGATTGCATGTTTTAATAGAGTTTATTAAGTACTGCAACAACAATAAGATCCTTCTAGCTGTATACCTACTACATGCAACCTATACGCTGCAGCCTCTTAATGTCTGCATGTTTAAACCTCTCTTATTAGCCTACTTAGCTAAGCTAGCTAGCTTTATAAATAGATGCTAGGGACTATTATTAATTAAGAAAAGAGACTTTTACAGCATGTTTAATAAGGCCTAGAAAACGTCCTTTAAGCATAAAACTATCCTTAGTGCTTTTAAAGCAACTAGTTTATTGCTATTTAAGCTGCAGGTAGTCTTAGATTAATTTTGCTATAAGTAAAAAAAGCAACTATTCTCTAGTAAGAGCACTAGCTTAGCGCTTAGTGCAAAGAATTAGAAGAGGGTTAAAGGCCTTTTAGATAAAGTTGTTAGTAATCTTTATAAAAAAGACATATAAGAGCTTAAAAAGACTGTCTAGTTATTTTTAGTGTGTTGCATCTTTCTCTAGCGTAAGCTTAAGCAGGTTAAAGATGCGCTAATTAATAAGAAGAAGCGCTGCTAGTGTAGCAAGCCTCTCCTACTAGAAGCACCTCTAGAATATTATAGTAGTGCAACTTTTTAGTCCCTAAATAAGGTCTAAGAAGCATGTAATTATTAGGCACAAAGAGATGCTAAGAAGGAGGCTCTACAGCTTTAAAAACAAGAGAAGGTAAAGTATAAAAAAGCAGAGAAAGCTAAAAAGGCGCGCGCAGTTAAAGGGAAGAGGCATAGAGTAGCAATAGTAAAGAAGGCTTACCTGCAGAAGCTTAAGACAAAAGCAGCTTAACAAGAGGAGGTAGAGCTTACCTAGCAGGTTAATTAATAGCTTAAAAATGACCTTTAGCAGGCAACAAAGGGCAAGCAGAAAGCTCCTACGCCTATTGCTAGTACGCTAGAGAATTTTAATAATAATGCAGCATTAAATAAAGAGAGGGAGCTAGCATTAGGCAGGACTTAACATAGCAGGCAAATTAACCTTCTTATAAGGTATTGCATGTAAATTATTGCTAGAAATAAAATCTATAGCATTTAATTAGTATTATAATAAAAAATTTATATAATCTATAATTTATGTAAGTCTCTAGAGCTTTAAAAGTAAAAGGCGCGGATTGCTAAAATCATGCATTACGCGAGGCCGTGCATTACGCGCTAAAACATGGTAGTAGACAGTAGCTGCTAATAGTACACTTCTTTATATGCGCGTTAAAGTGCTTTAACTAGTCTAAACTAAGCTAATTAGTAGTCTAGCTGCACTTAAAGATTATAATAACCTAATTTTAAAGTAGAATTTTTTTTATACTAGTTTAAAAAGTAGTTACTACCTTAAAAAATAATAAAAAGTAAAATAGCTTACTTTTTAGCATTAATGCCTTAGATAGCTGTTGTCTACTTCTAGTTACCTAGCTAAACTACTTTTAGCTGTCCTTATCTCTCTAAACTTATAATAACTGCTCTAGTAGATATCTAGCCTATTATAAACTCTGTTTTGTTAAAGTTATACATGTTATTATTCTAGATGCTATACTTAGCTTTAATATTCTTTATAAAGTTAAACTAGCCTTAAATTACTATATGTAACGGCGCAGGCAAGACAATGGGTCCGAATGCGGTATGAATCCACTCAGAGGCATATGGGAGTGCGTGGGGACTCAGAGACCTGGGAATAC